GTTGGATTGCAATGTGATTCTTTGGCAACCGCACCCCATAGATGTCCCCCCTCCCTCCCTCCCTCCCTCCCTCGCTCCCTCCCTCCATCCCTCGCTCCCTCCCTCCATCCCCCTGCGCAGGCAGATGCTGATTTGCTGGTGTGGCTGTGGCCCCTCCCTTCCTGTGCAGGGGGGGACTCCCCCTTCAGTGCTCTCCTTTTGTCCGTGGATAAAGCAGCTTCCTCTTTCCCTGTTCAGCCATGGGAGCCGCAGGTCAGTACACGCTTCTACTGCACTAGCTTAAGCTTTTCAGTCTGCCTGAAACCTGTGCAGCACATCACAAGGCACGGCCGCTGTTGCCGGTCAACACCTGTCTGTAGCAGACCTGTCTGTTGTTGACGTGTCTGTCACTGTAACAGCTGCTGTATGTGCTACAGTACCTGTTCCTGTGTGTGTGTGTGTGTGTGTTTTTGGTTGTGTGTGAGCATCTTCATTAAAATCAGCAGCTCCATAGACAGTTTGTCATTAGTGACAGTACAGATGGCTTCTGAGGGGAGTGGTGCATGTATAGCAGCTAGGTACATGGATTGTGTTCCCATTGTTCAAAATGAATAGTATCTTTGATTTGACAGTGAGGTGGAAGAGCAGCCACATAGGTACTGTTATGTGTCCCTAAGTTATTGATAAGAAAAGTAAAGATTAAACGTGTTCTTTTTCATTTGGGCAGTGTGTGTGTGTGTGTGTGGGGGGGGGAAGCAGAGATTCACTTATCACAATGACTGTTCTTTGGCCACCAAGGTTTAGCCTGCCTTTTTGGCATCCACAGATGTCTTTTAGTGGAGAGTAAAGATGGCCGTCATCACTATGCTGCTCACAGCTCCTCGGCTAAAATTAGAGCAGGCAGGCTTGGCGGACAGCTTGGAGAAGAAGAGTAAAACACCCAAGAGACCCACAGCCGCAATTCTGTATTTTTCACAGGCACAAAACTTTACGTTTATGTACCGGTTCTTGCTTCCCGTACCATGTGATACGAAGGATTTTCCAGGTGCCAGCACCAACAGATGAACCCAATTTGCACTTTTAGACTTGGGGTCGTGGTTGGGGAGGCAGCCAGTTCAGCATAGGTGAAACAAGCAGCCGACAGTTCTCATGGAAACAAGCCCATGTTTCCAGCGGATACAGCCCACTGCCGGAGGAGGACCATGTCGGCCTCTGAAGCTGTAATGGTAGACTGGGCTAATCCTCAGTTATCACTCCTCTCTCATCTTTGCTAGTGGCTTTGAATTACAGGCCCCACCAACCGAAGAAGTGAGAAAGTGTAAGAATAGAAGGAAATCATGCAGAAATGTACAAGCTCCTGCAGGCAATGTGGGTCTTTTATTACTTCAATGATTTGTTCCCAAGAGCCATGGTGTTTCACTGCATTGAAGCATCGTCATCCTTCTTCTCTGACCACAGAGCTGCCCGTCTGGTCCGGGTCACATTGAACTGTTATCTACAAACTGCTGATAGTGCTACTAATCCTGCGACTGCCTATAGGTCAATCATTAATTCTGTTCTGCGAGCTGCCAATGAGGGTATACCTACGATGTAATACAACTCCCTCTGTCTATTTGTACGGACAATTGTGCACGTATGAGACCATGCCAGGTGACACTTCCGACAAGTCCACGTCAGATGTAAAACAGTTCTGACAGTCAACCGCAGCCCGAGACACTTGTTCAACAAGTTAAGAGTCTGTTGGTATTGTCTGCAAAGGCCGTTCTACATTAAGGAGCAAAGAAACAGAACGTGGACACCTTCATGCTACTTGACAGCTCCACAGCTCACTGTAAGCTAATGAAAAGCTAGGTTAGGAAGCTGGGTTAAAACAGAATCACGTGACAACCGGATCTCTCCCAGGACATTGAGTTGTGAACAGCTTCCAGATATTTGACCCAAATGTGTGGTATGTAGCGCGCAGACGCAGGGTTCACTTTGAAAAAGAATACTGTACATGGACTGTGCCAAGGCCTGCATGTCACAGAGTGAGGGGTCAGGTAATGCTGGTCTTGAGTCCTAACCCTGTTTGTCCTTGTGCTGTCTTCCTCCCATAGCGATTGACTGCTCTACTGGAGGAATGTGAAACAGTCAGGGGCCGTGTTCAGCGGCGTGCTACTGCTTCTCTTCTCCCTGACCCAGTTCAGCGTGGTCAGCGTAGGAGCCTACTTAGCCCTGGCAGCCCTCTCCGCCACCATCAGCTTCAGGATCTACAAGTCTGTGCTGCAGGCTGTGCAGAAGACCGATGAGGGGCATCCTTTCAAGTGAGTTAACTGGTGTATCGTTCAATTAGATCGTCTCATTTAAAGGTGACATTTACTTACCAAAGCATCTTGTCTGTGTTACCAGATCTTACCTGGAGATGGAGATTGCTCTATCCCAGGACCAGATTAGTAAATATGCCGACAAAATCCTGCTGTACTCCAATACCTGTATGAAAGAGCTGCGCAGGCTGTTCCTTGTACAAGACTTGGTCGACTCCTTGAAGGTTTGTTTCTGACTTGATAGTTTATAGTCCAGCACTGTTAGCAAGGGGTGCAAATATCTTTCAGTTACTTCAAAGGTACAACCTAGGATTAGCGCTGCTATTTTGGGAAACCAGGAGGGCTTCTTGACATATGACATTCTGATAATGCACTTTTTTATATCGTCAGACATGTAGGTTACAAGGATTCAAATATCTCCTGCCTGTATGTGTTTCAGTTTGCTGTTTTGATGTGGCTTCTGACCTATGTGGGCGCTCTCTTCAACGGCCTTACCCTGCTGATCCTAGGTAAAGTTGACTCAAAGCATTTCACCCTTTTGTCCATTAGTAAAGTAGCTCAGCACAATCCATATAACAACGCTGTATTATCTCATATGGCATATGATATCCTCATGAGAAGCACAACGTGTCCTCATCCCTCCACTGTAACCAAATTAATTCATAGGTCACGTTCACTTGACTGTACAACGTGTGCAGTATCTATTTACTTTTCCAGTTTACTTAAGATAAATGCTGGGGGCCTGCTGACATGCGTGTACCTGTTTGAGAATATTCCCACTGCACAGTAGGTCACAATAACTCTTAACACTGACTGTCACTCTCTCCATGCCTCCACAGCTGTGGTTTCCATGTTCACCATGCCTGTGGTCTATGAGAAGCATCAGGTAGGAATCTGACCTTCACAATAACTCAAGTCTAAACTGCGTTGTGAAATTCAGTCAAGTATTTAACCTGTTGTCTTTACTTTGTTTTTTTTTCAGGCGCAGATTGATCAATATGTGGGGTTAATACGGACCCAAGTCAACTCTGTGGTGGGAAAGTGAGTGTTTGCCATTCATATATTTTGTTCAAAGTTCTAACTTGTATCTTCAAGTCTGAGGCAAACAATTTGAAAAGAGGAGCACTTCCTTGCTGCTCAGTGACTGATAAGACTGCATTTGTACTGGTAGGCTTCCAAAACACAGTTTAGCTGATCGAGTCTGTTTAAAATATACAAGTCTACAGTTTCTTAATTAGGAGCACAGTTTGGAGACTGGTTTGGCATAATTGGAAAATAGGCACACATTTTTGACAAGTGTCTTGTTTATAGTCACCAGCCCTGTGTTAAATCAGAAAAAATAAAACATTTAATCTGTCTATAGGTGTCCAAAAGATTTGTTGAAGCTAACATGCTTCCTTGCTTCTTTTTTTTTCAGACTAGCCAGCGGCAGTTTTTCCAATTTTAGTCATTTTTGACTTGTTGGTTGTGTAGACTGCCATAAAAAGAAAGAGTAGAAACATAATAAGTTAGAACAAGCACTCCTTAATCTAGAATAAATATCTGGTTGGGTATGTGGGATTAAAGTCTGTTTTCTCTGTACAGGATCCAAGCGAAGATCCCCGGGGCAAAGAGGAAGGAGGAGTAATGACTGCCTGTCTTTTGGTGAAGCGGACAGTCGAGTCCAGCTCAGAGTCAGGCAGCTCGTTTACTGTTGAAGAGCCTGGTCGTCATCTGTGGGGCGTAGTGCTATGTCATCTAGGTGTTCTCTAAAAGCATCCACTGGAGAAGCCGTCACCCTGTCTATAGCAGTCTAAACACTAACACACACTGTCACATGTTCATAATCCTGTTTCTAAGTAGACAAGACCTCAACTCAAAAAACAAAAGAAACAGACTTTTTTGTGTTGCTTATTATAAAGTGCATGAAGTCAAGCCTTGGGTAAATGATATTTGATATCTTTTTGTGCGGTTTTTAAATCATGCTACATTTTTGCTTTGCAGTGCTTACCACAAACTGTACAGTTTGGCACAAAAAAGCTAAATGCCCTCAGACGTGCTCTGCTGCCAATGTTAAGTACTGCTTCATGTTTCTGAGTAAGCAGACAGGGCTTCTCTCAGTATACGTCAATATATATAAATATCAAAAATGATTTCCTTTTGGTGTTTCCAAGCACAAATAATTTAACAATATCCGTCTTAGATGTGGTAATTGTAGGGGTTTTGCTTTTGTATAACCATAAGGAACAATACACACGCTCATGTTTTAGGTACTGTTGTACAACTACAATGAAGACAAGGAGTATCTGGTGATATTTAGCTTGTTTGAATAACTGTCCAACTTTGTACTATGTTCAACTATACTCTGTAGTTCTTTAGACCCTGGACTCTTTAACTATTTGCACTCTCACTATGTATTTAATTACAAGAGTAAGAAAAAATAAATGTACCTTGATGTATAACATCTCCTCAGCTACTTTAATGGTGCCTTCACATTCACAAGACATCAGTGAAGAGTTAGTGTGTGTCACTGTGGCTAAGTTTGAGGTGATAACACTTTGGATGGGAGACCTGGAATGATGCGCTATAAATACCAGCCAATGAATTCTGGCACAGACCCCCCTCTCATAGTAGGAACACAGTGTGTGTGTGTGTGTGTGTGTGTGCTGTGGTGACAATTTTAACTTGACTCCTGGGTCACAATGAGACTATGTTTGAATGAAAACTGATTGACAAGCCTTATCTGTTGCAAACAACTATTTTTAATGGCCCACTGCTCAAGCGCTGAAACTCAGCAGCAAATGATTGAAACAGTAAATAACTTTTGTGATTGTTGCAAATGACAAAGTAAGGATTGAGGATTTTTTTCTGCAGGCCTGAAAACTTCGACCTCATTTGAAATTTAAATAACATTTTCTTTCTGAACAAAATAAAATTGAAATTTCAGGAAACTGCTCATAGTAAAAAAAACATTGAAACCAGTTACACTTAACAAAAATGACATAAAAGAATAGAGCTTTGCTTAGGTGTTGAGGAGAGTGACGGGATGCAGCTGGAAGACAACACTTCTGGTCTTTGCATCTCCAGGTTCAACATTATCCATCTTCAGAGCAGGGTCCACCTGCAAGTTCAACACAAGTACATGTTTAAAACGCAGAATTAAACCTTGCTCATAAACAGCATTAGTCGGGGATAAAGACTTATTAGAATATAAAAGGCACAGGAGCCCTATCAGGTGCATACCTGGTTCCATTTCTCCAGCTTCTCATAGTACATCGGTGTGACAGCTTCTCTTGTTGGGGACTTGATGAAAAGTCTGCATTGCATATTAAAAAATAAATTAAATAATTTTGTTCATATTGTATAAACTTATCAGTGATTTCATTGGACCTGTGCATGTGACCTGGTGAGTCGGTCTCTGCAGTCCTCCTGCAGGTGGGCTAGCCTATCAGGCCCCAGATAATGAGTGCTAGAAGCCCTTCCACACACTAGCCTGTTCACAGCCACTCGCAAAGCATTGATCTGTCAAAGAAAGAGCCAGAGCTAATCAGCAATTAACAGAGAGGGCTCAATTATGTAGGGCAGGCATTAGAGAACTGTAGAAACAGATGCAGAGATGTAGATTATTTGCATGCCAGAGCCAATATCACAAGGTACAGCGTGATCTGAATTGTGGGTAAATGTTAGGTTTTTCTTTTTTTTACCAGTTTTAATATAGATTTTAGATTCAGAACAAAATGTAGCAGTTGGTGAAAGATATGAAAATAGTACTTCACGAGAAGTATGTATTTCTATTAAACACTATGATGCAAACAATAAGTAATGAAGAATTTCAGATCTGTATTTCGGACAGCTGTGGCTCAACCGGATGCTCTGGGATTTGATCCCCAGTTCCTGCAGTCACATGTTAAAGTGTTCTTGGGCAAGACACTGAACCCCAAATAGCTCCCGCTGCTGTGTCAACAGCATGTGAATGTGTATGAATGGGATTTACTAATACTGATGGACACTTCAGGGATTAAAGTTCTCCATCGCTACAACGGATTTCCGTCAATTTCAAAATTGTAATATTTTTCGTCAGTGTCAATCAACAAAAAAAGTCGAGCAGACTTCTGTTTTTTATGTCAGGCATTTATCTGAATACTGTAACTGTGTAGTTTTGCGTTTGTGTGGCATTTCAATGTAGTCAAAACTTTCATCTGCTATGTGAAGTCTGCTCTGTGTAGGAGGCTTTTATTGTGGTAGCGAACATCAGCGTGCACTGCCCGTCATGTCAGACTTATTTTTTAGGCTCCGGTGCGCAACTTTATTTCCCCGACCAAAGAAAAAAAACCAGAGAAATAACAATCCGTAACATGACGGAGTTTACCGTTAAAGTTGTATTACGTGCAGGCAGAGCAGACAGTCGGCGAGTGCTCTGCTACCAGACACACTCTGTTAGGGACGCGTGTCAAGAGGTGATACAACACATTACCCACACAGAGCACCGCAACATTTACTTTTCATACTTAAACTTATTCAAAGTTTTATATAGATCACCTGCTGCACCTGTGAATTTATATAGGCAAAAAATGTGTTCAAAAGAAGCAAGCTCATATCTGTCAGCCTAGATCTTGAGCTTCAAAAAATAAAAACATGTCAATTTTATTCCTAAAATAGAAAACACTTAATGTTGTTTTATACGTTGAGAATTTTCAGTCAATTTTTTTAAAATTTGGTTTAATCCCTGTGGACACAGGGCACATAGCAGCCTGTCAATGTGGGGGGAATGGTGAATGGGACTTGCAATGTAAAAAGCACTTTGAGTAGTCAGAAGACTAGAAAAGTGCATTACAGACTTGAGTACTTTTACCATTTCTGCCTACACCATCATTTCTAACCAACTCTGCCAGCCTGGTGCCAGCTGTTACCTCAGTGATGTCTTCAACATCAAACTTGACATCAAAGGCAAGTTCGATGTCATGCTCCGGTAGGATGCCCTCCTGTGTTTGACTGTTCCAGCCTAAGCCACAGAGGGCTCCAGTGTAGCAGGTCCTCTCTTCATTAGTGCTATAAAAATGTGGAGGAAACTATCAAAATTACATTTTTGATTATGCCTCCTTTAAGGTGTGCAGTTATAAATCGGTTGGTTTCACTGACCGCAACTCCATAATGGGGGTGAAGAGCATGGTGACAAGTGCAGGCAGTCCGGGGATGTCAGGCATGAAAGAGGTCTCTCTAAGCAGAATCAGTGTCCCTGCGACAAAAAGTAAAAAAAATACTTTGCACAACTGCCATTGAAGAGAATAACTATCTGAAAAATCATGGAGTCCTGATAGACCCTAAGTTTTTAGTCCTTGTTTGTAAAAAGAAGAAGAAGCATGTTTCAACTGTCAGCAGATTCTGAGCAACAATACTGATCAAATAAGTATAGTATAGTAATAATAGTTACTACTAAGATAAATGTATGATAATATGTCACTTTTTTATAGCAAGGCACTAACTCTATGTATGAAGCTGAGCAGGTATTCTAAAGTGTGTTAATCAAAGATTTCTTTTCTTTTTTTCTTTTTTTTTGGGGGGGGGGGAGATCCCTTCTACTACTGAAAATGAGATTGTTAAGAGAGAACAGTCTAGGACTGCACGACAGAGGCATTTTATCCAGGACTGACCTGCCTGAGGTGCTTTAGTGTAGTTTGCATTCATAATAACAAAGACCAGATTGCCAGAGCAGATTGCAGTTTAAAAAAAGGTCATTGTTAATCCCCTAGTGCAGTATTTAAGAACAAAAGTCCCTCAGAGCAAAAATCTAATCAAATAGCAACTACCAACTATCAGTGAAAACAAAACTTGCACTTCAGCAGTCAAAACCTTTGGCCCTTCCTGGATCACACATCTGACCTAGACGAGACATTCTGCAATTTATACTTGAGCTGCGGTTGAACAGAGACACCCACAGTCAATACAAAAAAGTACAATAAATACATATTTTGTCTCTTACAGAGTAAAATTTCCAAACAAAACAATGAGCTAGCACACTGAAAGTCTTTGTGGAAGGAGTGTGAAGTCAGTGTTAAATTACTTGTTCTTATGTTGGTATCCTCAAGCAGTCACATTCACCTTGCATGTATTTATTATTCTATTGTTAATATTAAGGTATTAGTTAGTGCAGATTAAAGCAGTAGACGCATGCCTTTGAGTCTACATTTAAGAGAAGATGTGTTATGTAGTACCTGTAGAGTTGACTGACACAGTCCCAGCCACCAGCATCCTCTGATGTTTGTAGTGAGGGTTTTCATTCAGGGCCAAGGAGTTGATGCTGCTCTTCTCGATACACACTGTCCTGCAAGAAGACACACTCGTAAGCAAAGTGGGGTGGGGCATTGGCACCTTGAAAGTTTTATTTGCAAATGAAGATTGTCATGCTTACTTGTAGTAGGTCTTGTGGCTCAGGCTGTGGAAGTTTATCTTATTGGGACTGTTCGGTCCATGCAGATTAACCTGTCATGTTACAAGGAAGAATGCGGTCAGACACAACACATGACGTAATCATGCAGTCACTGGGAGTCAGTCAGCTTCAGTCACCCTGTCGTCATTTTTCTGCTCATCAGACAGAATGGGTGTGTCTTTGAACAGACACAAAGCACACCAAGCGAGCTACTAGATGGCTCCATCTTCTGGACAAACTCAGAGCAACAAACTGGAAAATATCCACCTAATACAAAAAATCTGCAACGCATATATAACCTTTAGTCCGTTTCCTTTAATAAAAATAAAACCTCCTCAAAACCTGCTTCACTTTAGAGGCTTTCTGTTCAAGCTAGTAGTGGCAGATTATTTACACTTATTGCTTTGTTAATTGTCTTGAAATTCTGAGACCTAAATTTAAATATCTATAAATAATCCTGTATCTGTGGCTGTCAGGCATGTCCAATGACTGGAAGTGTACCTGCCTGTTTGTTCATTTATTAATAATTAATATGAATTTTTATTTAGATTTCAGTGAGAATGTGATATAAAGCTGTGGGGTATCTTGCCTTTGCCCTGGAACAGGGCTGACGGCTCTTGGAAAAGTGGTCGAGCAGACTGTCAATGAGTTCCTTCTCCTCTATCTTGCGATCTTTCCAGGAGCTGCTGGTAGAGTTGGGGACGTAAGTACCTGCTTCCATGTCTCTGTAAAGGCATATCAGTGCCTCATGGTTCGTCTGCAAAAGCACATATACACAAGACAACTACACTTGAAAGTGTACATCGCATTTGTATGCATCGCTCTGAAGGTGAAGACATATTTATTTTATTATCAAATACATTTAAGTTTTTTGGAGAAGATAAGAGTCTACTTAGGCCCCCAACCCCCCCACAATCTTCTTGATTATTGCTCTGCTTAAATTTAGTCCAAAGCAATGCTGGTCACTTTTAACTAACCACACCATCTGCTGGAAAATATCAACATTGCAAGTACAAAAAGGAACATTGGCAACACAATAAACAAGATAGGCAATTTTACAAGTTCAACAAACAAATTATTTGGAATTAAGTTGTTTGTTCTTTTGGTATTGTTCAAGGACTTTCTACAGATATTGTTGTACTGTTTATTAACAAAACCTTGGAGTGAAGTGTAAGCGATTTGAATTGAAGCTGCTCTCTTTGAGGAAGGGAACTTAATCAAACACCTATCCAGCGTGCACAGGACAAGTTTTGAGACTGAAATGACACATTAAAGTGAGTAATCGTATCAAGTATAAAATGTTATACCTGAATTATTTCTTGTTTTCACCTGCCTAAAAAATCAAATATGTGGGCTCTGGTCACCTTGGAGTCAAAGCTTTCTTCGACCTTCACAGCATGTCCTTCTTCCACTAAGATGTCCAACACGCTGGCGTTTGTCATTTCTGTGTTGATGAGCAGCTCCACACGCATGACACCATGGAGGATGGAGTAGAGCGACACAATGAGTGAGCGGCCCTTCACCAGTGTGATAAAACGGTTGCGGGCTCGGCTGCTCCACCTGTTCCCCAGGATGATGGACTGGGCTGAAGGACGCATTTCAATGACTTGGAACTCCTGAGCCTAAGACCATTAGATATAGTGTTGATTTGTTGCAGTGTATTTACAGTTTGAACAGTGAAGCAGATTAGGGCCATCATTTCTCTGAAAAGTCAATCACAGTACCTGAAATGGGTGAGTCAGGAGTTCAGGAGGGATTTCCCTGAGGTTGCTGATGGCAACAACTGCTGTATTGCCAAACTCCAAGAAGAACACCTGAACACGGGTGCATAAAGCAAATCTCATAACACAATCCTAAAGAATGATTTCTTTAAGTTTTGCTACACTCAGATGCCTCAGTCCGGTCAGTTTTCAAAGTCTTTAGCGTAAATACCTGAACAGAACTACCCATCTTCTATGTCAATGCGTTTTAACACCATCAATTTAGTCTTTGAGATAGTTTTAAATAAAATCTACTTACCGTGAAATCCGAAATATAAGTGGCACCGGTATATAAGATGCACCCTGTTTTGAAGGTCTCTTACAGAGAAAAAAAAGTTTGAACTGTCTTCCTTGCGTGACGATGTCTACAACGTGCAGTTTCTGTCCGGCTGTGTTGCTCTTAGTTCCGTCCGTTTTCACTTTCGGGAGGTTGCACTCCTACTAGCTACAGTACGGTAGTTGAGCTCTCAGCCTGCTGCAGGGAAAGTTGAGGCACAGACTCCGAGCTTGCGACGTTGCGAGTCGCGCTGCCCGACTCCGCTGGTCACTCTTTAACTTTAATAGAGGACTCTTTCATTTAAAAGAGCACTCCACAAGGTTTATTTACGGAACAATATACCAGTTTTCTGTAAATGTATGATTATCACCTCGTTAGGGAGAAAAGATGTGGAAAAAGTCGCACAGCCAGTCTGGTCTGTGTCGCCGTCTTTCCCACCACAGCGTGCACTCGGCTTTCAATACACAATGGGGATGGGTTTTTAATCAGAGTGTTTATACTGGTATATTGGTCGCACCGGTGTATAAGACGCAGCCAACTTTTAAGACGAAAAAATAGGTATTAAAAGTGCGTCTTATACACCGGATTTTATGGTATTTATCTTATATGACTAGACAACTGCCGATTGTCATTTTCTATCTTATCTGTTCCCACAAACACGCATTTCCCCTTTTCTGTCTCCATCACACTACTGTGTTTTTAAAAGTGTTTTTTTTTTTTAGGTTTGTGTTTTTTGCGCTGGTCAGATTTCAAAACCCTGTGACAGATTTTGCTCAGGAAATATCAAAAGAATTTGAAATCTTAGTGTAACCATTTGCTGTTATATGTGTTGAAGATATTCATGGATAAATTGTTAATGTCACTTCTCAGTCAGAAATGCCACCATGAGGGGCACTGATGGCCTAGCGGTTATGTCGCACCCCATGGTTACAGTCCTCTAAGCTGGTAGCTTGGGGTAAAGTCCGACTGTGGCTCCTTTCCTGCATGTCATTCTTCACACTCTCCAGCTTTCCTACTATTTCCACAATCCTATCTAGATAAAGGCAAAAGCCCAAGAATAATCTTTTGGGGAAAAAAATACCATCATGTCTACATTTTATCTCTGAAGATAAATAAGAAATCATTCTCCTACATTAACCTTAATTCATTGTTAGAAATGCTCATTTAAGATTTTTTTTTTAATTTTGTAGAAGGGTGTGTGCACTGGCCTAAAAGAGTAATATATAACACTGAAACTCGTAATTAAGCATGACCAGAAACCTGCAATGTGTGAGCATTTTTACCTCAACTGAATTGCCACGAATGTGCAGGATCTTGGCACGGTAGTACAAGCCCTGCTCATTGACCTCCGAGTAAGGAGCCAGACACAGTAGGTTGGGGTAGAGGGACACTGTTACAGGTTGCAACGTACGCATGTTTATCTCTGCTGTCAGTTTGCGCTGCTTTTCCAAGCTGGCTTCATCTGCCTGGAAGCCCCAGAAATGTCCAACCTCCAACACCTACAGCAGAGTTTTGAGATGGTACATCTGTTACAGAATCAGAAATCAATAAAAAAAAGTTATTCAGCTCTGTGAGTTAGTTGTAAAGGATTCACCTCTGTGATGTTAACTACGAACAAGCGGTGGGGGGGCAACTTGTCTGGGTCAATGCTGCTGCTCAGCACTCCCACTGGGCAGACAGTCTGGCTCTGGAGGTCAACATTCACCCTGCACAGCAACCACACACATTGGACAGGACTTTAACATTATGCACACATTCACTTTCCTTAAACTGCTTTAAAGCTGCTTCGTGGTTAAATGCTGTTGAGTCGCGTTATTACTACGAGTCTACTGAGCTAAAATATCACTGTTACCCAATGTATGGAGGATATAGTTGTGCCATACCATATAATATGATAATGAGACGTATAGATAAATGAAATGAAGAAAGTCATATGTGAGAATAGTCGATGTCTCATTCTCTAACTGTGGGATAGCTAATAATGTGCCAAGTCACCCATGTTCCTGGCTCCCAGACGAGCAGGAAGAAGCCGGTGTGGTCTCTGACTAAAAGGAAAGACTCATACAGAGTGCTGGGATGTCAGAATTAATTAAGGCTCAGTTCAGGGGCACTGACCAATGCAGCCAGTGAAGCAGGGGATTCTACTTTTCAAAGAGGGAGTCAGGAATGTTTTATTTCAGCCTCTTAAAGCCAAAGAAGAACATTTGTGCTCTGAGGTTTTTCCTGTCATAGTGCACGTGTAAATACTGTCGTAGGAACTGATTTCCCTTAGACAGGGGAGAAATAGTTGTTTTTATAAAGCAGAAAAATAACCGTACCGTGAATATTTCATGTGTGTTACATTTCTGTTCCCAGCATGCGTTTCTATTTCATCAATGGGGTGTACGGTGAGCTCCATGAAAGGATTCTGCTGCCCCATGAGGAGAGCAAGGGACACCTCAGGCAACACCCCTGAGTCTTGAGATGTGCTGTAGAACTCCACATATGCTCTGAGAAAACACACACAAAAACACATTGTAAATGTGCACATGTAAATGTATTAACATAAAATAACAAGAGAAGATTTTAAAACATGTCTGATTTGCCATAGCAGCTTTTGGTACCTGGAGCTCTCAAAGGAAATGGTTTTGACCTGTCCACACAGGCGGAACAGAGACTGCAGCTGCTTGTAATACAGGAAACTGTACGGAGGGAGGTTCCTCATCTGAAAGCAAGTTTAGTGTTATTTCACCACCTTCAACCCAAAAAGTTGTAAAAGACTAGAGCCATATTAGCCGCCCCCTTACGGGTTTTTAATGGTTATTACACATCAGAAAGTGTCAAACTCTGAAAAAATGTCATGAGCTTAAACAATAATCATTTCTTGGCTCGCTTCACAGTTAGTCATACCATCACTGTTGTTCTCGGGTTGAAGCCACTCATCTCTCTGGAGGCCAGGTCTTCGTCTATTTCCCCCTGGACAAAGTAGTTGGGGTAGTAGGCTCCAGCAATGACCACCTGAAACAGATAAGGGTTCTACCTGTAACAAACTGAATATATCTGGTATTTCTTCAGAGTCATAACTGGGTCTGAAGTGTACACAGTACAGCTTCTATTAGACCTGGGTGATTATGTATATATAGTGTACATCTGAGGATGTCAGTAACAGGCTCTAACCTGAAGAATGAACTTCTGTCTGTGTGCATTGGTGTAATCCAAGGGTTGTGGGTTCTCCTGCACAGGCATGTTGAACTGGGACACTCTCTTTTTCAGGTCCTCGTACAGCTCTGCAACCTGAACAGTGAGTTCATTTACAATCTGCTCGACTGGAATTTGGTAAGATTACCAATGGACAAGAAAACACTCAATTGTGAACCAAAAGACTGTAAACATTCATGAAGCTAAAATCTGAAAATCTTAGAATATATAATATATCTAACAATATTGTTTATAAAGTTGATTCTATGTACTCAAACTTCACAGAACATTTTAGCAATTCTCCAGTTAACAGTTAAAACAGTATTATTCAGATTGTAGATTCAAAGTCTGACAGTATAAAACTTCAGAAAAGCCCATGACTATAAAGTGTAAGATGAATGACACTGTTCACTGCCAGACTAGGATGCCTCTGGTTGGGCTTGATGAGCTCCTGTGATCTCGCTCTCTGCATTATCTCTTTACCTCCCTGATCCTCTTGATCTGAATGAAGTTCTCCTTTCCCCAGTCCAACTCATCCTGAGAGGTAAAAGCAGCCAAAGCAAAGACATCTTAACACTTCAACAGAAGAATTCAGAGAATTAAAGACAAAAAGTGCTGTATTTGTAACGTTTAAAATGAATGCAAATGAATGCAATTAACCATCTTAAAATCGACTTCCCCTTTGTGAAGGCTCTGTCAGGTTCACATGTATTAAAAACACTGTTTTCAATGTGGTGTTTTAATTTGTTAATAATAAAACAGGGCAATTATTTCTCCTTCAATGCACACCTTTAAGACGATAAAAACTGATAGAAGATTATATAGATTAATAACTGTATGTCAGAGATGGCTCTGTACTACAACAGTCGCAGAGTATTCTTGTTTTTTTCAAGTGAGCTTGTGTTTGGTTGTTGTTATGCTCACCTTGGGGTGTCTCAGCTGTCCTTTCTTTTTGGCAGAGTACCACGCCTAACAGTAAGAGACAACAAGGAAAGCTTTCAGGCCAATATGTAAATCAGTTCTACAACAAAACTTGCTTTTGACTTGGCATCAACCACATTACCTTGAAGGCATTGACAAAAGATATGGAATCACTTGGTATGCCATGGGTAAAGGCCAACTTGCTCCTGAAACACCAGAAATTATTCAGTGCAAAGAAGACATGATGAACACACTGAACCCAGGCTTTATCTGCCCTGCAGTAGTCTGATTTCAACATGAAACCGGTTGACATTTGTACAGGCACTCACAGGAAACCAAATGTGCTTTTTGAAAAACCATTGATATACCTAAATTTAAAGAAAACAGTGAATGGAACACTCAGCATGCAATGACAGACACTTTTGAATGATCACACAGTTTCTGATCACTTTGTTTGCCAGTTTCCACAAGGGAAGGTAATGTGTTTGGACTGTATCTCTGGTCTAGCCCAAAAACGTTGATCTGAACAAAACCTTAATGTTAGTCAGTGGTCAATATAGACATCAAGAGTTCATTTATTTAACATGACAAGTCCCATATTGAGTCACTGTGTCAACAAACTGATCTATACCGACAGCCTGTTAGTCAGTGAATGAGTGTAGCTGCTGGATGTGAGTCACCTGTGGCCGGCAAGCTGCTGCATGGATGGAATAGCAAAGAAACTCTTCAGAGAGTGCGAGGCAGCTGAGGATAAGAGAAGATGTTAGTGTGCTTTGTATAAACAGTTCATAAAAAAACATATTACAGGAACACAAACACACAGTAGTCATGTCAGAAAAGTTGCCAAATTGGAGACGCTGCAATTTAAGTACAGTATAATAAAAGACTGACCGATGATAAGGCACTCTTCCAGACATCCAAACACGTGGCCCAGGACAATCAGCTTTCCTAGATACAGGTCACAGGCAGGTGGGCCAGCACATTGCCCAGGAACGTCAGCTCGCCATCCTCATTTTGACCCCTGCCATCACTTTTCGCAGCTAGTGCACCCATCTACAGATAAAAGATCCAACTAGTGTATACACCCAATCTACTCCGAAAAGCCTATATCAAATCAACAGTTTCCCTTCTGGTACTTCAAGTTCTGAACATGAAATGGCTGATCTTTCTGATGCAACATTAAGTTGACCAACTGAATACTTACTTTTTCACTAGGCTATTTTCCTCATTGTCACAACTTAGTTTTAATCATCAGGGGTTGACATTAAGTGAAATTTGCCAGTGGCCCTCTGGGCCACTAGTTTTCAAGGATCACTGGCCCAACTATTGTAACCGCTGGCCCAGGAACGTTACTTTTGATTTGAAAAATAACTGTCACCAATTTACTCTTGAATCATTCTGATGGAAGATTAAATTACAACTTTTATTTAATTAATTGACCTCTAATTATGTCAAATATTTTGTATTTTTCTTATATTTATGTGCTCATGTTTATTCAACTTCAACAATAACTTTTATCTTTACCAGGATCTAGTCTTTAACTTTAAGGGGAAATTTAGCTGCAGCGTGTTCCAGCTCCAGCTGTCTGTCACTATGGCTGAAACTTTTCTCCCTTCTGTTTTCGTCATGCCCTGCTGTCACTCTCGACTCTTTTGGTGATTTTTTCCCTTTGAATGCTGATTTAAGCTCTGCTTTTGTCGAGATATGATGGTTGAAAACCATTTTACCAAATGTGTTTTTTATTAAAGAAAACCTGCGCAAAAATCTGTGTGCGAGTGTACAATTCGAGAGTAGCGAGCACGCTCGCGGGAGGGTCAGCAGTGAAGCCGGCGGCTGCCTTTCAACTGTGACACACAAGCGCTTGATATGTTGATGCTGTAGCAGTTATTAGCCCTATGTTTCTAAATTAATTACTGACAAAACACCGGTATAACAGGAAAGCGCTGTGAAATTGAGAACGTGTCACAGTCTATTTTATTTTTTCAGGCAGTATTTGAACTGGCCGAGCGGACTCTGTCAATCATTCATCCGGGCCAGCGGGCCAGTTATAATGTCGAGCCCTGAATCATCTATGGGATAGACAGAGATGCTTGGACAGAAATCTCCCAGAAGATTTCATATTTCTACATTTTGATTTTGAGGCTCATCGGCTCTTTAACTCCTTTCCTGAGAATATCAGGCTGGAGTTCTGCTGAACCTGCTTCAAGAGTACAAAATCAAATCTCTAAATACATTTTGTCAGTGATAAAAAGGAACCACAATCAACATACACTTTTCCCCCACACAAATCTATGCTACAGCACTGCCCTTCATTACAGTCACCTAAAAATATTGGCCGATACTAATGCCGTCTGAAATCAAGTTCTTAAGAGAACTCCTGCTCTAACACTCACAGAGCTGAGTGGTCAGCTGCCCGCCCATCACAGCCACACATTCATGAGTGCTTGTCTGAACAGTAAGAAATCCCTCAACCTGAATGTATTTACCTCTTTGAGTTGGAGCACTGTCCTCACTATGTCACCAAGATTGGGGGGAGAGAGGGCTGTGGAAAGGAGGGAGCGGGGATCTCCCATGTCGAGCAACTTCACCTTCAACATAATGGTGCCCAAAGGGGCAAGCTGAGAGGAAGGCAAACAGTATGGCATGGATTGATTGTCAAATTAAGTCAAAGCAGCTTTGGAAAAAAAAAATATATATCCCAGAGTTTATTCTCTGTTTTTTCTCTTACCAGCATCTCAGGGATCATGTACTCTGGGATTTCATTTCTCCAAAACTCTTTGGTGACAAGACGGTAACAGAAGCCCTCAGACATGCGACCAGCTCTGCCTGAGAGATAAAAAATAAGGAGAATAAGAAGACAGAAGTAAAGAAACATTTACACTTCAGAGGTTACGTTTTGTGCATTAAGTATTGTACCTTTACGCTGATTGCAGTTAGTTTTGGATGCCCATGTGAGACGCAGAGACTGATAATTGGTGTCTTTTTCACAGACCATTTGACGGGCCAGACAGAAGTCAATAACTATGATGAGAAAATAAAATAGCTATCAACTAGGATACCTTAATTAAAAACCATTCATTAGGACTGTACTGAGAGCAAAGTTGAGGGAAAAAAAGGCCACACCATATTTGACATCTGGAACAGTCACCGAACTCTCAGCGATGTTGGTGGACAGGATGACCTGTTGGGATGGAGATTTTCAGTGTGACTGACAGGCAGTGAGAACACATGAGTGGCCAAACAAGCTGTTGGTTTTTACCTTCCTGTATCCGGGGACAGGGAACAGAAACACACCGTTCTGCTCCTCTAGAGTCACAGTGGAGTGGAGAGGATAAACCTGTAACCTGAACAACAAATAAAAAGATATTGTAAACATTCCTTAAAGTAAAAACTAGCAAAGACAAAGAAGTGCTATGAAGTCTAGAGATTGTAATGCTAATCAGTATTATTAGTAAAAAAAAAAAATGTTTTAGAGTGAGGTAGCAAAAAAACACAGAAGACCATAGGCAATGGGGAGGTAAACAAACAAGCTCACCTTTTGTGGACCAGCTTGACCAAGGCCTCCTGCATGTAGCTTATTTCATGTAAACCAGGAAGGAACACAAGCACACTGCCCCGCTCTGAAGAAATGCCAACTCCTTTCTCGGCTTTGCTGCTCACACATAAACACACAACATGATTACTCTATGCAAGTACCTACTTCTCATCATAGTTATTGACAAAGGCCTCACTTGGAATCTTTGCCCTCCATCTCATCAAAACTCTGGATCAGGCTGATGGCAAGATTGTACATCTCCACTGAAATGTGAGGGTCTTCTGTGTGAGGTGATTCAGCCTAATTGACATATACCAAAACAATCACACATTAAAAATTTAGTTTCAATACAGAGTAGCAGCAGCATCAGCTAACACTTAGTATCTTCATACCCTGTTTGGAAACATATTTTTGAGGTCATCAAGATAAAACTCCTCAATTGCATAAGGTGTTCCCTCCACTTCAAACACGTAGGCGGGGTTCATCTTGCCCCGAATAGGGGTACCAAAGTACTCAGCAAACTGTCTGCAGTTAATGGTGGCTGACATGAGGATGATCTAAAAAAGAATAATAATCAGAAGATTGACAGGTAATCGATGCAGGAGATGAACAGAGGAGGGTATTCAATTGATCTTGAAAATACCTTGACATAGCGAGAGTTGGAATGAAGAAGTTTTCTCAAAACCAACAGGAGAAAGTCCATTTCCTCTGTGCGCTCATGAACCTTAGCAAATGTAGAGAAGGCGAAAGTCATTAATTAGATAATAGGACACATTGTGTCTTCTACAGCAGCATACAACTAACGGAACAATATCAAAATCAGAAAACATTTAACACACAAAATGAATAACTACAACAAAACATAATGATGAACAGGTGAGCATTATGGAACTCCATTGCTACAATTAACCAAAAAGACAACACAACAAGTTCAGTTAAAGATTTCAGTTCTGATCTGTCTTGTAGTTTATTCACCTCATCCACAAATATGTGGGAGTACTCAATGAGGCACTTGGCTGAAACCAGTTTTTGCAGAAGTACTCCTGTAGTCATGTAGATCAGCCGGGTGTGCTCAGTAGCCATCTTCTCCAATCCGACCTGAAATACAGATATCCAAATAAGTATTCATGAATCTGATCACACACATGCTTTTAATGTACCGACTAGAATACATGAATACAAAATGACCTTTGATTCACTAACTGTATGACTTTCTAAACCAAGATAAAACACATCAAAGGGAAAAGGAAAGGACTTCCTACTCGCAGCAAATAGACATATGGACGTTGACGTACCCGATACATTGTGCATCACTTGCTCCCTCCATCTGCTTTGTCTCAAGGTCTTATTCACAAAGCATAGGGCTCTAATGATATTCAGGACAGAATACAGCAAAAACTTGCCCTGCTCCATTCGGTTTGCTCATGTTTTGTACTGTTCTTAATGTGCGTCTTTTTAAGGTTTTTTTTTTTATGCCAGACTTGAAGAAAATAAAGAATTGCATCCTCATGCGCAACGTCTCCAGACTGTCTCCATCTTTGTGAATGAAGTGTGCAGCCACCGACAGCCCCGTACTGATTTAACACCTGGTTATTTTAATAATCACAATGCCAAAGTCATATTTAGATACTTAAAACACTGATACTTGTTTTTTTAAGGTCATGAAGAGATTAAATTGATTTTCTTATCATTAGAAAGTTTGCATGTGGCATCTCTTATAAGTACTGCAGCACAGTTACCACATAGTCTCAGCAGATGGTTTTTGCTCCACTCTTACCTGTGTGTGGCTGTTAGCGCCAGTGTTGTGAATTAGACACTTTTTTTTGCATTGAGGCTGATTTGCACAGAAAGGAGATGGTTTTTCCTTAAATTACTTTTTAATAAAACATTTAAATATGCACAAACCAGCATAGGTGCACAGAGACACTGTTTGCTGTGCAGCACATTTCAGGGTGAATTTAACCGCCTGTGTGTTTCGGAATCAGGCCCTAAGAGGGTAGAATAACGTAATAACATAAAACATATTAAAACAAAGGCATAAGAAGCTTCTGTTTTAACATGAGACGTTGCACCTCAATTGGTGCACTAACGGTAGGGACGTACCAGCGGACTCTCTCTTTGGTGAATAAAAAAAAGTCGGGAAATATACTTGGGCAGCTGTTTATATACCTCGGCAACCCACCCAAGTCTTGTCCATGTGTGGAAAACACTGGAGGCATCATAATGTTGCTTATTAACTTTCTCTGTTAACTCAAGCTTTCTGCTATAGGCTGTGTGCCCGCTAACAGGAAAGGCGGCGTTTAGTTCATTAGTTGACGCGTCTTCAGCACAAAAATAAAATGGTCACCAAGACAACTGTCAGACTTAAATGATTATAATCGATAACTAATACATAACACTTATTGCAATAGAAAACAACACTACTGCTGCACTAATGGATAGGGATTCTGCAGAAAATGGCTGGGTTTATTCGTTTATTAATTAATGAGGTTATTTTGCATTCTGATAAATGGTCAGTGTATTTCTTGATGAACACACAGTAAAGTTCTTAACCCTTAACAATAATACACATGATTAATCAGAGCAAGCATAAGCAGAGTATCTGTTGTGCAAAGTTATCACGTGGTGACTTATACAAAACATACTGCTGATGAAGAAGTCAACAGAGCAGAGGTGTACAAGAAGAGAGAAACACAAAGAGGCGGCTTGGGCCAAGCGGCTGTGTGCAGCAAGAGAGGAGAGGTGTAGGTGTGTGCATGTGAGTGGGTAACAGAGACCTGAGAAAAGCAACAGGGAAAATTACAAAATATTCCAAACTGTAGATAATCAATCAGAATTACAACTGCAGGAATATAATCAATCCACTAAAAATGGGTCATGAACTTTTGAAACTCTCTTTCATCTTTTCCCCGCCCCCACCACAGATACATTGTAATTCTGTGGTTAACACTGTTTATCTTTGCTCTCACATTAAGTGACATCCCACTTAACTCCAGAGAGCTGCACCAAGCGGAGGAGACAACAGATATTATTAGTCATGTTGTTTTGGAGCTCTGTATAACAAAGCATGACATCCTCACACAAAAAAACACACAAGCTTGACATCGTTCTTTTTTAAGTGTTGAGAGACATGGAAGGCTGCTTTTTGTGTACAGTCTTAACCATTACATTTCAATGCTCATTACAGTGTCACTAATGCTATGTGACTTCAGTATAGGGTGTTACTTCTATCTGTCCTTATAATTAAAATATTTAGCATTATTTCTATGCAGGAATAAGACAGGAGCTAAGTTGTATGTGCTACCCTTTGTATTTAAATTAAACAGTTTAATTTTGTTTAGTTGCCACTAAATGTTGCACTAACCTGATATCCCACCACACTACCCAGGGTACACTTTCGCTGTGCGGCAACCCATCGTGCAATGCTAGTCGCCCCAATTTTACGCGGCTGGGTGACCACGATGTTGCATAAGGCGTTCTTCTCACTGTAATGGTCCAGAATGTACTGTGGCAGCTGGGTGGTCTTTCCACTGCCCGTGGCTCCTCGAATGATCACTACAGAGTTGTTTTCTACAAGAGAAACCAGCTGGAGGCAAGCACACCGACACACGAACACACAAAGCAGAAACGCAAGCTGAAATGCATGTTCCTGTTTAAGCTTTGTAACATGTGAAATAAAATACAAGGTTAACTTGTGAAATGATAAAACCAAACTGATATGGTAAGCTGATTTGTAACTGCAAGTCAACTCTTCAATCTACATCAAGAATGAGATTTTAGACCAGTGATTTTAAAGTTAGCTTTTGTTCAGCAACATTAGATAACTCTTAAGTGCAAAAGTGTCCTGAGGACATAATGGTAATTTCAGTAATAACTAAAAGAGCTAAAAGAAAAAGTACTTCAGGAGAACAAGAGTGCTTTTTTAAACCATCAGTATGTGTGTTTATGTGGTACACTTTTTACCTCCTGTCTGTTTTTGGTTATAGGCAGGCTGGGGTACTTGTAGCTCGCTAGAGGAGGAGGAGCAGTACCTGAGGAAAAAGAATCAAATGCAAGAAACAGTCGCAGGTAACTATAGGCAGATTCCTGTTAAATAAATCTATGGGTAACAACAAAACAAACACGCTTTAATGCTTACTCTTTGAGGTATCTCCTTTTTGGATCCGCTCTTCATCAGACTTCACATCTTTTAGGCTGCCTTCATTAGGAACCTCAGAAGGGCTGGAACAAAGTCATTTTCAAAGCAGTTTCATTTTAGATAATTTGCATTATCTACTGTTTCTTATCATTGACAAAAAGCACTTGGAGTAAATGCAGGAGATTGGGATTTGGGGTATACAAATTAAAACCACTTGACAAAAACACCCTGAAAAACGCCCCAAAATCTCAGAAAGCATAACTGCTAAAGTCACAAGACGTGTAGAAAACATGTAACAATTCCTCCTATGAAAACTATGTTTAACCTTTCTAATTTTAGATTAACTTTTAGATTGCAGTAAAGTTCTGTTTTGTCTCCTACTGTATCATTATCATGAGCCACTATGAATATAATGGAACTTAACAGCTGTCATCTCCTTAGCTTTATCTGTTGAGGCTAAAGATGGCTACTGCAACATTTAATATTATTTGACATTCCAGACACTTGAGAATAAATTAGCTCTCTGATTGTCATACGACACATTTTTAGTCCAGAGAGACTAAGATTACCATTTAACACATAACGGCAAAATAAATTCATGTTGGTGATCATCACTACATAACTTGTATGGTCCTAGTGTCTTCCTCTGGTCAGATCCACTAGGCAAAACCTACAGTAGCCTGGAGAGCGTTCTCTGTGTCTCTGCCTCTCACTCTCTTTTTGAGGGAAGAATTTTTTCCCCAACAGCAAGCACAATCATGACAGTACTAAGCAAAGCTCATGTACAACACACCCACGGCTCGTGCACACACATGCACTCTCATCCTCTTCCTTTCTCTCCAGTGCACACATTTCCTGCAAGCTACGAAGCAGCTGACCTTACACTGAAGCGGCATACTGCACAGAGGAGACTGGGGTGAAGGCAGAGGAGAGGTGACAGCTCTTAGTTAGCAGTGTGACTAACTCTCCTGGAAAAAAGCCTGCTTGACAGGAGCAGTGGGAGGGACAAAAAGGACAAGACAATAACTACAACACAAAGAAGAAAAATCGCTTCCAATAAGCAGGACACTGGAGCACTGCTGCCGACACAAAAGTAATGTACTCCATCAGACACCAAATGAAGAAATGAAGTTCACACGGACTGAGCCACGGAGAAAACTCAGTGAAGGATGTATTCTATGAAGAGCCCAATTTATGAAAAAGGTCACAAAGGTGTCAGTGGAGCAGTTTTCACCTGTAAGTATGGATCCTTCCTTTCAATTTTTCAGCAAGAGCTGTGGCTACTGTTACAAGTATTTGAGATAGAAATTAAGTGTTTCCCAAAATTTGAAGCCAAACAAACAGTTTTTGTGCAGTGTGGCTGACCTCTGATCCTGCAGGCAGTGTAATCCATCTAATCCCAGGTGTTGAATCCATCCGTTTCGGGGGGGGGGGGAGCCATCTACACACACCTGGGACATCATATACCACCTAATTTGACTTGAACTAAATGCATAAATGCAATCATAGTATGCATCAAGCATGGACCAGAGGTCAGCCAACAGGGTGATCATCATTTGCTGTCAACCGTTAAAAAAAAAAAAAATCTTTAAGAATTATAAAAGGACTACAATTTTAAACATTTAATAAAATCAACACTTCCATGTTTGGAAATCTATGTTTACATTTTTGTGACGCATTCTCATTGTGGTCTTTGAAGCAGAAAATTTGACCCCATTTCAACACAAGCGCATTTTCACTATGGTTCTTTCTTTTCACCATCAGCAGGAATTATAGTGATCTTGACTTGTTTAATTTATTTTATTATGTCTGTTAAAAAATAAACTTAGAAAGAGAGTAGCTCTTGATTTAAAGCCACATGTATTCCAGCATATTCATATAGTTATAAGAGTGCAGACGGGAGGTTATTGCTTCATGTTTCAAGGTATTATAAAATCTGCGTTTTCTTTCTTGACAGTTTTTCCAGCCTGTCTGCTCTGAGTGCCATGCCCCTGTTCAGCTGGATGAAATGGTCCAATGAAACAAAAGCCAAGGTTGAGGATGAAGCAGCACCTCTGAAGACATCTGAGGTCGTTCCCAGTCGCATGTTGATCAGAGAGCTCCTGTGGCATGTGGAAGAACGTGAGAGGCTGGCAAGGGAGCTGGAGCGGGAAAACAGGATGGCCCACAGCGCCCTGGGTCTCCGCTGGTTCCAGAAGTACCCCAGGTTACGGACCCTCATCCCCACATCAGAGCTCCACCACCTGGAGTTCTTGTGTGCCCAGATTCCTCCTGCCCATGCAGCCACCGTGCTCTCCAGGTATTTGTTAGCAGCCATGCCATGCTGCTTCCTCATATTAGTACGCTGTCAGCAATGGCTAGCTGCTTCTGCAACACAAAGCCTGACAGCAGGCAAACCAGAGCAGACCCATAAAGAAAGGAGGGCAGGGCTGGCTGCCAAGAGAGCCATTATGTGTTACTGTCACAAAGGCAGGTGTGAAAGGTGTGACTGTGAAAGGTGCTCTGCAGGTCTGAGTCAAGCCAGACTGCATGGGTTTTCATAAACTTTAACCATAATGATATGAAAAAAGGTTATTCTACATGGTTGAGTACAGTGATCTACTTACCATTAAAGTCAGTGATAGGTCACTACTGTGTGGTTACACAACCAAATAACTAAATAACCAAAGTAACATATGTGTTAATGATAAAACATGAATAATTTAGCCTCATAAATTATCTGTATTCTTATAAGAATAAACTGCTCATTGAAATTGTGAGATGCTCACACAGTGTTGATGCAAATCCTTGCTACTTCAAAAAGTATTTAATTAAAATCTATTGGTTGCATCCTTTCACAGGTTTCGTGAGGTGCTTGCCACTAACAACATTAGGCCCTGGGAGCTGGCATCTGTCTTCAAGCAGGTGCTTAGAGACTTTTTGAGCCAAAAGCAGTATGATGAACAGGACGACATCCAAGTTCAGCCAGCACAGCTCCGACCAATGGCGGCTTGGACCAGCCGATATAAAATGAAACAAGGCTTTATCACACCCATTGTTCCAAATTGTGGTGACAACCGAAGGGAAGAGATTCCAACGATATCGGGTTATGTGGACTGGGCCATGCAGCACTCCAGTTCATACTCAGGGTTCAACAGGGACTGGGACCTTCCATATTTCTACCCAGTTCCTCTCAGTCCCACGGGAGTCTACAGCACTACACTATGAGTGAACATACTGCTTAAAACATCTGTGGTTCTTGTTCTTAACCAGAGGAATAACTGAATCCAAAGCATGAATTTGAGATGCAAGTCATTCACTATTTGTATACATTTTAGGGAAATCAGTTTGTGACTAAGTTGAAGGCAACTTAGGCTATGTGAACTATATATTTGTTGAACTGTAAATTCAATATTTTTTTTCACCTGCTGTTTTTAATCTCTACTTAATGGACCAACTTTTTTTCTGTAGTCCTGCTAACAAACCTTGACATGACATTTGGTTATGTATTTCAAAGGTAAATTGTAAGGTAGGTAGTGGGATCGGGTCATACATACCAGTGTGAAATTTATTTTCCCACCCTGGTCCTTAACATGTTAGCTTGTGAGTCTTAAAAGTTAAAAGTCTACTTGTAACTGTTTGTCAAATTTCTCTGCTGAAAATGTCAATGAGTTCTGAGCAGTTTAACCAAAGACTGTTGTTAATTTCTCCAATTGTTGAGACCTTAAGAAGATAGGTATGTTTAAAGAATAAAAAGAAAAAAAGCATGACTGATACAATTTTGTGTGATACATTTTCCTCATCTTACTTCTTTACCATCCTGTGACCCTAGGTTTGTACACAGAGAGAAACTTTGGAAAATGTTCGAGATTGAGAACATTATTTAGGACCTTGGCGACACTCAGTATTTAATTTCTAGGAAATACAGGACTCACATTATACATAACTTAAAAAATATGTTTAACTGGATTTTATTTTAACAAAGTTTTACATTATTTTTTACTCAACTTATTTAAATGGTTGGACTTATTTTTGCTGGCTGTGTATACAAGCCTATATGCAGGAAATACAACTTAAGTTCACAACAATATTCATTAGTGAAACATTTTTTTCCCCTTTGATCTTCTCTTTCAAAATTTTTGAGGGATCATGATGTCAGTATTTCTAAAATATTGGCTACAGCCCAGTTAATTCTTAGTAAGCTTTTTATATTGATGACTCTGCAAACTTCCCCATGAAACTTCTCTCTAGTGGCAGACACAACAACTAACATGAATCATAAGGGAGAAAAATCTCAATTCACACTGTGTAATTTACATGTGCTCAAACGGCGTCAAGCTGAGACAGCTTTCCTTAATACATGAGAATCATAGCTGTATTATACTGCGGTGCAGTTGGTTTTAAATTGGATATTCGACAGACATTCACGTTGGAGCCAGCTACGTAACCTCTCACTCGTCTCCACGAGAGATGGTAGGAGGACGGTAACATCTTCTCCCGGAGCCCTAGCCGACGGAGACCGACTTTAGAGACAGTCAACAAATTACTGTTTCAAAGGGGCAAAATCCATATTTTAATCAATTTTCTTCAATAACTTCCATGTTTTATGACCAACTGTCCTCCAATAAATATTTATAATTAATATACACTTGGAGGAATATGACACACCACCTGTTCTCCAATTTAAGTGGTTTTATCTTCTTTTATTAATATTTAACTATTAATAAATCAATATTTCAAATGTTTTCTTCAATAACTTCCATGTTTTATGACTGACTGTCCTCAAATCAATATTTTTAACTAAAACTCACTTGGAGGAATAAGATACACCAACTTTATCCAATTTAAGTGGTTTTATCTTTTTTTAATTAATATTTAACTATTAATAAATCCAGATTTTCATCATTTTTCTTCAATAACTTCCATGTTTTATGACCGACTATCCTCAAATCAATATTTATAACTAATACTCACTTGGAGGAATAAGATACACCAACTTTTATCCAATTTTAGTGGTTTTATATATTTTTTATTTAATATTTAACTATTAATAAATCCAGATTTTCCTCATATTTCAATAAAAAGATAAAACCACAAATATTGGACAAAAGTTGATTTGTCTCATTCCTCCAAGTGAGTATTAATTATAAATATTGATTTGATGATAGCTGGTCATTAAAAATGGAAGTTAATTCAGAAAATTGATTAAAATATGGATTTTACCCCTATGAAACAGTAATTTGTTGATGGTCCCTAGTGAGTGAGTGAGTGAGTGAGTGAGAGGTTTACGTAGCTGTCTCCAGCGTGAATGTCTGTCGAATATCCGACTTAAAACCAACTTCACCACAGTTGATAACTGCGAAGCTTTTTGATCCATACACAATGCTGGAGTGTCACAATATAATTCCCATTGTCTATTTAGTGTACTGATGCCCCTTTAGACACTTTTAATTAGCATTATGAACACCAATTACATTGAGCAGTGTTATTTCACAAGGTTTAAGCAAACACGGTTTGACTAGAGAAGACACCTGTAGCCTGACATTATTTGTTTCTACCCTGTACAGGTCAGGTGGGATTCAAGGATGCTAGCTAGCTAGAAATACGAAACCCGACATCAAGCTAGGTTTAAGTTGAACTCACCTGGTTTCTTCACCAAACTTCTTCTCGACTTCTTCAGTGAGTTTAATATTGGCGAACTTCGCCCCCGAGGTGAACCAATCCGAAATTTGCTCTGCTGTAAAGATTTTCTTCATGGTGCCGCTGATCACAACTTTTTTACATTTCAGTCGTATTTTTGTCTCGTGCCCTTAAAAGGTTGTCAAGGTACTGAGAAGCACGTGAAGCGCGCGCAAGTGTATGCCTTCCAAGCGCGTGGAGCAGCTGCTACATCGCCCCCTGGTGGTCAGACTTACATAAAGTCAAACTTCAATATTAGCATTCAAATGATTTCCAAAAGAAACTGAGGCCATACCCTTCTTTAAAATTAATAAAATAAAATAATTGATTAAATTAATCAAAAATGTTCAAATAAAAAAGTTACATACAAATCAACAGTTGTGCAGAGTATCATGCAATATGGCTTCATCTGTTTTATATAGTAACATTAAAGGATTATAATCAATGATTGATTGTAAGCAATACTTAAGTGCTGTATTTTTATGAGCATGGGCAAATACTTACAAAGTATTGCTTTTAAAGTAGCATTATGTAGTATAAATTGGTCACATTTGTAATTTAACCCTACTCCTTTAGATTTTAAACTCAAGCACCATATACCGTAATGGAAAGGTTTTAAGCTTGTGAAAATTGAAGGCTACAGGTTCTCACTTAATTTTTCATTATTGGATATTACAAGTCCTGTAAATGAAGATTTCATTGATCAGGGTCTTCTGACAAGATTTCACGGTAATTTTTACTCAGGAAAATAACACAAAATATAAAATTAAGACATGTAGGTGGCGGAAAAAAAAAAAGTTTTTTAATTACAGTAATAAAAAAAAGAATAGTGATTATGCTGAGATAAACACTGGCCATACAACTCAAGATGATTGAAAAAATACAGGAAACCATCTAGCGTGGAAACAACTCAGACATACACAGACAATCACCAAATTGTGAACAAAATTATGTAGATTTCACATTAAAAGGTGTAGTCCATAAATTTTTCAAATTCACTTGAGTCTAAGAAAAGAAATGACTTGACAAGATATAGCTGGACTACTGTAAAAGCTGCTGGTATCACAGTTCAGTTTAAAAAGGGACAATATTCTCGAGGAAAAACTTTGTGAGTGATGTAATATATAAAAATATGTCATCAACTATCTGAATGAGACAAGGTAAAAGTCACAATTTCTTTTTTTGCTTTAACTCAGTAAAACGTGGAATTAAAAAGTTACTGACTGAGATGGAGTTCTCTTCACTTCAAACAACTAAAAAACAGCATTTCACGTCATCTCAGAACATCCATCGTTGTCTCGCATAAAACCACTCTCCGTCCTGAGCTTTTTATTTTCCTTTCAAACAAAAGCAGAGCACAGAAGTTATTGACATAATGTGTTAATATTCTTCACATTACCAAATAAAAACATCCTGTTATGATAGAAAAAAATATTAGTTACCTCTTGAAGTTTGGTGTTCTCTAATTTCAGCTTCACAAGATATTCAATCTTCTGTTTGTGGTTCTTATGGCCCACAAGTTTTCCATTTTCCTCCGACAGCTGCACATTCTGCTTACGGAGAACCTCATTCTCCTAATAAACAGAACATGTATGTTAGTGCTGCAGCTCAAACAAAGTGCATCAATTTTGATCAAGGATCGATTGTTTCACAGAAAGAGATAGATGCTGTCTCTGCAACAGAGATCGGCAAGTTTCTGTACTTTTTTAAAACTATTTGTAAGACATTTTGACATGCAACAGAATGAATCACTAATCATTAGCTGCCAATAAATGTAAAATGGGAACTATGGGGTGGCCTAGCAGTTTGTGTGTGCACCCCTATGTACAGAGACTGATTTTTGACAGCTCCCATGCAAGTGGCATAAAGATAAATGTCACACTTTGCCAATTAAGAAAATGTCCAAGTTTTGCTCTTGCATCTTTTCTTTAGCAATAATCAACATGTGTACCAAGCAAGGTACAAAGAACAACAAACTTCTTCAACTCTTACCTGAAGTAGCTTCTCCTCGTCGTGTACCCTGTGGTTCAGCTCTCTCAGCTCCAGACAGCGGTTTCTGAGCTCAGCAGTCAGGTCTTGAACGCAGGTCTGAGACTGGGTCAACATGGACTCCTTCGCCTGCAGTCTAATCAAACACAGACAGAGTTTGTAAAATGTCAAGCACTGATGGAGAATCAGAATAATAACAATAGTAAATAAAACAGCCCCTTACTTCTTCAGAGTGTCAGACAGCTTCTGCTCAATTTTGCTCTGTCAAAATGAAAGAACAATGAATTAGAATCCTCCTTTCAATAAAGACAAAAAAGCAGAAGATAAATACAAACCTTCTTTGCTCTCTCCTCCTGCAGCTCTTTACGTATAGACTGCTTGATGGCCTCATTCAACTCTTCGCTGAAAAATTACAAAAAAAAAGCATCATCTATACTGCTTATGACATCTACGATCTACATTACTAGATGACCTGATGAGGTGAAATTATAAACTCAACCTATTATTGTTTCCATTCTGGCTCTGCTTTGTGTAAAACTGGTCAAGTAAAGCCTGGATCTCCATCCGGACCATTTCTTTATCTGTCAGCTGTGACTGAGGACAAAAAAAAAACAAGTTTTAAATATAGAACAACATTATAGAAGTGAAATATAAATCTTAAATTAAGAAGACGAAACTACAGTGAACCAGACACAACCCTGCTGAAAGACAATTTCAGTCTAATGATGAATGGCTTAAGATCAATTCAACTTCTGCACAAACACAAATACCTTTAGCCTCTGGATCTCCTCGTTCTTTGCCGTCCTCTCAGCATTGAGCTCAGTTAAAAGAACCTCCATGGTCATCATGGAGGAGCGTCGATTCTCCAGCTCCCGTTCCTGGCTCTCCAGGACCTGGGTCAGGTCCCTGTTGAAGCTTAATGGAGTGCAGGGAGTCTTGAGAAAAAGAGAAGTTCAGGAAAAAGATGAAGCACACGTTGCACTTCTGAATGAATAAGATAAAGATAACAATAGGCTACATATAAACTACTGACTATTCTTACCCGGGGTAATGATTTAGGTGTGACTGTCGGATCGAACCCTGGTTTGAAACTTCCATTTCTGAGAGTTCTTTCAACGGCTTCTTGCTGTTGTTGCACCTAGTACAAAAGTTTTTTTTATAATGAGTATTTCTGATAACCTGTTATCATTTAGAAGATATTTTCCTTATTGATCATTGTCTTGTCTCTATCGAGATACTTAACACTACCTTCTGCTGCAGATTCTGTATCAGGGCGTCCTTGTGGGCGGTTTGCTCTTGAGATGCTTGAAGGAGACCGTTCTGCTCATCCAAAACCTTTGTAAGTCTCTCAACCTCCTCGTGGCATAAACAACCTCCTCCTGCAAAACCTCCACCTGAGAACACACCATGCATACGACACCATTGTGTCACCTTATGAATTTTTATAACAAAATTGTGTCAAACAAGGTATTAAATCAGATGAAACTTACCTCAATTTTGTTGGAGGCTAAGCCCCTGTCTAAAGTTTCTTTCAGGTCGCATATTTCTGTCTGCATCTTAGAATTCTGTTCTGTGATATCGTCCCTTTCAAGGCAGGCAGCATTATACTTAGCCTGGACAAACAATAACATCATTATTACAATAATAATCTGACCGATTAAACATTTCTACAGTATAAGGTGGTAAAGTAAAGGAATAGGAAACTATGATATATATATATATATTTACAATATTAAAAAGGAATTAGCAAATGAGGAAAGTACCGTGACTTCTTTGACGTCTTCAGACAGTTGTTCAATGCACTGATCCTTCTGGCTCTGCTCACAGCGGAGGTCTCTGGTTTGGTTCATCAGATCTAAAACAACATCCTGACAAAAGGTACACAGTCTGGATTCAGAAGGGTAAAAGACACACAACAATCACATTGGAAGGACTATGAGGAAACCCCTCCGGCTTACTTTTCCCTGTTTGATCTCCTGCTCCAAGCATTTTATCGTTTCATTGGCAGAGTTGAGATATTGTTCAAGATCGACAACTTTGGATGCCTTGAGAAAAAACAAAATAAGATTGAGCGATTGAGCTGCAATAACTGTTATTCTCAAACATGCACACTGTTCTTAAGACTGACCTGTTGTTGATTTTGTGCCGTCAGGGCTGAGACCTGTGTCTTTAGCTGTGTATTCTGCTGCACAGTTTCAATAAGTTCTCTGAAGGCATAACAAGGTCATCTGTGTTAATATTTTTTTTTTTTTTGGGGGGGGAGATGATTTAAAAAAGTTTAGTACACTTGCTATTGAAAGCCATGGACCGGCAACAAACTTACTTTGATGTGCTTTCTTTGTTTTCTTTTAACTGGGAGATCAGAGTGCTTGTCTGCTGCTGTTCATTCTGCAGAGAATTATTCAATTCCTAAAAAGGAGACATAAAAAAGAGAGTTAAAAAATCCTCATAGTCTACATTTCAGGTAGAAATAAAAGAGATGGTTGCGTTTTATGAGTCCGCTCACAGTGAGCTGTGCGTTCAGCTTGTCAATCTCCTGCTGCCTGTCCTGCAGCTGCTGTCTTGCTAGATCAGCATCAAACTTCGCCTCGGCCTGCAGCTGGTCAAATGAATCCTGCAGAGTACGATGCTGCTCCAGAAGCTGCTCCCACTCCAGCCTGGAATGAACACAGGGAAGTTGTGAATACATGAGACACATCAAAGCTGACAATGCAGATGTTTAAGAGTCCTGCTTACTGGACTTTGTCAAGTTGGAGCTGTGTGCTGATGAGATTGTTGGAGAGCTGGCTCATCTCTCTCTGCTGCTCACTCTGGCCATCTCTTAGCTCATTCTTCACGAAGGCCAGCTCCTTATCGGAGGACTGCAGCACCAGGCGTAGATCCCCGATCTCACTCCTCAGCACTGGAAGAAAAGCAAAGACAGATGTGTAACATTTGTGTATGGAAGCCCTGAGAGGAATGCAAGGAAAATAAATCCAGATGATGTGCAGCCCGTATATAGGCATAAAGGGAAAAAAGTAATGTAAATTACTTTTTTTCCCAAACTCTTTTCAAATATTTTAAAAATCATTTTAAAAGATAACACTGGTAAAAAGAAATAAACATTTCTAATATCATACACACAGGAGAGAAGATAATGTGGATCAAACAGAATTACCAAAAGTTTTTTTTTTTACTAACTTCCCTCTCAAAGT